AAATCTACGATTTTTATACAACAATTTCTCCCACATGTGCACAGAGATGTTCACTGTTGCAGTATTTCACTGGCAAAATTTTCCTAGTAAATCTCTAACAATAGCTCTATTATGCTATGTTCATGTAATGACACACTTATGCTTATTTTATTAAGTGAGTTATTCAAATTTATTAAAATGGATGACCTAAATTTATGTCTATCACCATGAATACACTTCAAATAACCCTAAAAAAAACGTGAAGCAACAGAAACACAGAATGCAAAACACTTCTGTGAAGCATAAAGACACATCACACCATACTATTCATCATTTATGAAACCACATGTGTGGTGCAGTATAAATGCACATGAGGAAGGACATGCGACATTTGCAGGATGTTGGTTTCCTCTGGGAAGTGGAACGAGAAAGGGGAACAGGGCGAAAGCGGGCTAAGTAGAAGATTTCAAAAACATATGACGTTTTACTTCTTGAAAAACAATATATATGAAGCAAAATGTTAACACAGCCGTGCCTGGGTGGTGGCCACCTGGACACTCATTCTATTGTTCTCTGTACTTTTGGATTGCTTGAAATACTCTGTAATTAAAATGCTGTTTTGAAAATTGGCTCTTAGGTGGGGGGTAGACTGGAGAGGGAGAGGGGTCCAGTAGACGAGCGAGGAGGCTATTTCATGAGCCCAGACTGGCCAAGGTGGAGTCTGGAACAGAGTGATGGCAGAGGGAATGTTTTGCTCATAGATTAATTGTGGAAGGGGGTAAAATAGAAGAAGAACATAGAATGACTGTTGGGTTTTTGATCTGGGTAACAGACAGTGGGGCCATTTACTAGAAGAAGCTAGGAACAACAAGTTCAGGGAAGAAATAAAGAGTGTCTTGTGGATATGGCAGATTTAAGATCATTACTAAACATCCAAGTGAGTTGTATGGACAACATAGGCAGATTGGATGCAGATTCACACCCGGAGCTCAGAGGTGAGGTCAAGACTGGAAATATGAGTTGGAGGTCATCCGTTTATTTTTAAAAAAAATTTTTTTAACGTTTATTTATTTTTGAGACAGAGAGAGACAGAGCATGAACGGGGGAGGGTCAGAGAGAGGGAGACACAGAATCTGAAACAGGCTCCAGGCTCTGAGCTGTCAGCACAGAGCCCGACGTGGGGCTCGAACTCACGGACGGCAAGATCATGACCTGAGCTGAAGTCAGCCGCTTAACCGACTGAGCCACCCAGGCACCCTGTAGGAGGAGGTCATCCGTTTAAACATGGCATTTGACATCTCAGAGAGATCTTCTCAGAGAATGTGGATGGAGAAGAGGAGAAGCAAGGGCCAAGTTTGGGGTATGGAAAAATTAACAAGTGAACCTAAGGAGAGGGTGTGTGGTAGCCTGAATAAGGGCTCCCCCTTGTTCAGATGCCCATGTCCTAATCCCCAGAACTGGTGAGTATCTTAGCTCACAGGGTAAAGGGGACTTTGCAGATGTGATTGATGGTAAGGAGGTTGAGATGGTGTGAGACTATCCTGGGATGCCTGGGTGAGCCAAACATAATCACAAGGGTCCTTATCAGAGGGGGGCAGAGAAGGTAGGGTCAGAGAAAAATGCAAGAACAGAAGCAGAGATCAGACCGGAGAGAAGATGCCATGCTTCTGGTTTTGAAGGTGGAGAAAGGGGTCACGCGTCGAATAATTGGGTGACCTATAGATGCTGGAAAAGACAAGGGAGCAGACTCTCCCCAGGAGCCTCCAAAGGGAATGCAGCTCTGTCCACACCTTGACTTTAGCCCAGAGAGATCCTTGTTGGACTTGTACTCTACAGAACTGTAAGATAATAAACTCATGCTGTTGAAGCCACTAAGTCTGTGGTAATTTTTCACAGCAGCAGCAGGAAATTCATATAGGGAATCACTAATGATGTCCGGGAATCAGCAGCTGGGAGCCCAAGGAGGGAAGCAAGTGCGAGGCTATCTGTGCTGCACAAGTCCGTGGTGAGAGCACCTCCAAAAGAAAGGAGGGGATGCGAGATACGGTCCAAGGGGAGAAAGTTTTGACCGCTGGATTTGCTAAAATGAAGGTTGTCAGTGACAAAGTAGCTTCCTAGAGAGTGGGCTTCACCACAGCTTTGACTGGAGTGGGTTAAAGAGGGGAGGAGAGGCAGTGGAGAGCACAGACATGGTCACTGAAGTTCGCTAAGGAGTCAGATGGGTGGCTGGCGCGGCTTGTGTATTTCCTTCCACTGAGTCACATGCTAATGGAAATGTCCCAACAGAAACTACAGAGCTGACCTTGTAGGAGGAAGCCTTCATGGGCTGGCAGCAAAGAGCCCAGGACAACCCAAGACACATTCTATCCGGGACACTGACCTTGCCGAGGGCCTTCAGGAGGGAGGGGGGCGGCACGCAGATGGGATGATGCGAGTGAGGGCATGGAGCCTTTCTCTGAGCTTCTCCAAGCTCAGGGAAACTGGGGTCATCCACTGACATGGCGGAGATGAGAAAGGAATGGGTCGGGAGGCTGGGGAAGAACAAAGAAGTTGTGAAATTGCCACTTGGCGGAGCAGAATCGCCATCCGCCACCCAGCAGCCGTAAAAGCAGGGACTCAAGGTATGTCCGTTTCCTCAGCCTCCATGAGGTCTCCGTCTCCACTGGGTGTGGAAGCACCAGGAGTCCAAGGCAGAAGGAGAATAAAAGAAAAGATGGGCTTTCTTTTAGGTTCCCTAGCAAAAACCTTACAAAATTGCCCCAAATGTCACACCTATATTTTGGCAAAAAAGAAAAGCATCCTAAAGGCAAAGCCTGTGTTTAGAACTTGGACAGCAGGAAGGACAGTCCTAAAAAGTTAATGAACACAACAAACTCAAGGTTCTTTGGGGACAATTTCGAGGCATTAAAACTTAGTTGTCAGTTTCGTAGTTTTTTTAAAAAAAATCAACGTGAAGCTTTGTCATGGGTGCTGTAAAATCTGTTATCATGTCTTAGCCTTTGGAAGTTTTCCTTAATTTAAATGTTGAACTATGACACAATTTTCATAAGCCTACACTGCTAACCATATGTTTCTAGAGAAGAAGGCTGTTTGCATTGCCTCCCCCATTTGATGAACTAGTTTATAACCGTGAAAATGTGATTCGTTTATTTATACTTAATCAAAACACACTACAAAAAGTTGATAGCTTACTCCCAGAGCTTTGCATCATTGCCGACAGATGAGAAAAAAGTGTTCAGCAACTTAATCTGATTTACCATCATAAATATTCACATCTTACATATTTGTTCCACGAAGCGGTTGTGTAAGTGGCTTTCATTGATTTTCAAATTTATTGTCTTGACTGTATAATGCAAATCAATTATTGAAATTGTTTAGTAATGTGCACCCATCCAATAAATAGTGAAGAATTTTCCTCTCCCTCTTTGTCTCATGAAATGAATTAAAATGAACAGGATGGAGTTTTAGAATCCTATAATCCATCATGCCCACATTAAAGAGGATATTTCCATCACATAAGTTAAACAAGTTCTCTGCATATGCAGAGCGAGTAGATGGTAAAAGTCTACCATCATCAATAATTTCTTTCTTAAAAAATTTACTACTAGGAGTTCTGTTTCCAGTAATATGGCAGGCCCAGTGTTTGGACTAAATCCTGAAAACAGCTAAGAACTCTGGATATATATTTTTTGTAATTCTTAAAAACATCTTTATGAATATCAGGCCAAAATCTAAGGGAAAATTGTAAGTGAGAAGCCTACTATTGAAATCACTTTTGCCTTGAGAGCAAATCCGGTGAACTTTCATCTTCGTGGCCTTTATGAAAAGCCCACATCCCATTACAAAGGGGAGAGTATGGCAGGAGACCCTTCTTCCACAGAGCTGGGACCCCAAAGGAATCCAGCCCCCTATGAGGGTGAGGGAAACAGACCCCACACTCAGGCCCACAGAAGACCACCACAGTGCTAAGAGCACCTGGCTAGGAGCAGGTGCTCCTTTAAGAATTTGTCATGAAAAATAAGCTTTCGACCGCGATTAACATTAACTAAAATGAAATCCACAGATTGAAGAGTTTTGGACTTGCCAGGTAAATTTTACCAATAAAACCAGAGTAGCTATATTAATATCAAAGGGGGAAAAGAGTAGATTTTAAAGTAAGAACATCATTAGGGACAAAGAGGGTTATATGTAACAATAAAAGAAAATTTACTGGGAAACCTTTTTGCCCTAATTTTATTTTTTTGGTTTGTTTTGTTTTGCTTTGGCTTGGGAGAAGCTACTGTTACTCTTATTTTCACCCCAAAACCTTATATATTCCATGAGGCATTTCCAATATCCTAAAGCCCTTGGCTTTGGAACTGGAAAGCCAGCTTGGGTTCCATGGAAAGAGTCTGAGATGCAAAACTGCACCCAGGGGGGGTTTACTGGGAGTGTTCTCAGAAGACACATCTTTGAGGAAGTGGGGGAAGGTGGAATTGAGCACTGGGAGAGGATGACTCTTGCCAAGATTGCATGTGGACCCCCCAGGCCAGTCAGTCATCGGACATGGACTGCACTCTGAGAGGTGAAGGAACCTTGCAGGGGGGCACTTCCCTGAGGCTGAGGGCAGTTCCCAGAAAGGCAGCTGAGTGGTGGACAACCTGGCCCTGAAGAGACCCCCAAGCAGAGCCCCACAGTGCCCATGGTCCAGAGTCACCACGGATGAAGTTGCTTCTTGTCATGAGTGTGCCCCATCAGGGAAGCTTCTTCTCCAGGATTTTGGTCGGACCGGTTGCCTGAGAAACTTAGAAAAGAAGGTGATTATAATAAACGACAGCCCCCTGCCGCAGTTGATCTCAGGCTGTGACTGACACTCATCATCCCCCCCTCTGCCACCAATTCAAGACTCCCCATTCCTTCTACTTGCTCCTCTGCTGGTCTAGGCGGGGGGCCTAGTAGGGGGACGCAGACATCGTCTCTGAGGGGTCTGAACCCCAGGTTATCAGTCTCTTCTCAGGATATGACTCCTGTACTTGTCCACCTGTGTTAGGAGCACGAAGAGACTCTCTGGAGCAACCTCGGAGCATCTTCCCCGGCCTCACTGTGCATCTACAGCCCAACCTCCCTGATGGCTAGGGTCAATCATGCCCACCATGATGAAAACTCCTCTTCCTGTCCGCTTGTTAATCGTCATGAGAAACCCCAAGTGACCAGACAGTGGGTATAAAGTTCTGTAAGTGTCTTACTGTGTCCTCTGGTGAAGACGTTCTTCCCCTGGAAGCCGCAGAAGCCAATGTGGCAAGGACAGAAAGCACAGTTCCCTCTGTTGGTCACTGGGACCAATGGTGAGAAAGACCTCTCCTACTGCTATCTTCTGGTTCTCAGAGCCACGTATTCTACCTGCCAAGGCCACAGCATCATCGACACGGCATGCACTCTGTGCCATAGAAGATCATGCTCCGCACTCATAAGGCATCATCTCTAATCTGGAACCTTAGCTATATTCGTAAGAGGTTTTTCTACCACTCTGGCAGGCTGGCAGCTTCTAGATGATGTCATATATGATGAAAACGGTGGATTTCATGGTCATGTGCCCACTGCTGAGCCCCCATTTCAATAAAGTGGGTCCCTCGACTGAACTGATATTACATAGAATCCTGTGTTGGTGGATGGTGGTGCTGGCTTAGGCAGGTGCTGGGTGCTTTCCTGTAGGCAGGAAAGGCAAACCTATGCCAAGACTATGTGATGATCTCACTCAAGATTCATCTGTATCCCTTCTATTATAGAAAAGGTCCCTGTAGTCAGTATTTTACTAAATGTCTATTACTACCACTGGGGGCTCATGGCTAGTCTCTGCTAGCAGATTGGCCTTCAGCAGTAACTGTACTTAGATAGCCTTGGTGAATGGAAGCTCATCCCAATGGGCTCACGTGTAGCCTTCATCTCTGCTGCTATGGTATCTGTTGTACCTGCACTGGGATGGCTGATGACAGGCTAACTGGTGTCAACTGGCCAAGTCACTCTATCTGTTTGCTTGCTACCTCCTCCATGGTGGATGCACTTTGCTGGGCATTACCTTGTGATATGTGTATCTTCACACTCTGCTAACTCCTAGGAGCCTATCCTCAAGCTTCTTCCTATCTCCCAGATGCCAATCTTTCTCTTTCACCCCTGTTCATGCACTTTGCCATAAGTTTCACATGGCACATATTCTTATCTTTGGCCAATTCTCTTTCCCTACAAAGTAGATGACTAGACGACCTACCCAGATATATGTCCCCTGGAGGACTGCTCCTGGCTGCCATCTTCCAAGGCCATCCCTGAGCGGCGTAGTCCATTATTTACACGCACCGGTGAATCAAGTCGCCCTGGCCCCGTAGCGGACCATCGATGTGAGCTGAGGGAAAAATACCGGAAAACAGTGCTGGGTGATATGGGGCCCAGCTAACTGTGCAACTTCCTCATTCACTCTGACCCTGCTTATGTCCAGGCCTAGATATCTCACTTCCCCTTATGATGAGTCCACCCAATCTTATAAGTCAGTGGGTCTGACAGAACCCAGCCTGGCCATGCAGTTGACATCCCATGGTGATATGTCCCCATTCTACCAGGGCCGAGAAGCTTACTAAGAGCTACTTTTCAAATGATGCATACCTTTCCGCCACCGATAGACATGGCCTTTCTCCAAAATGTCAGGGGTTACCTTCTGACTCTCCCGGGGCTTGCCATAAGCTCCATGTGATGTCTTTTGCCACCATACATCTCCGTAGTGCCATAGAGAGCATACCGTCCCACTCCTACCAGTGAGGACCATAGGGGCGGCCAGGTTGTATGACACAAATGGCAGGGTCACTTACACCACCACCTGACCTGCTGACGCTTTCTTTCCTGGATCCTACTCAAAGATGACCGCCTTCCATATCACCCAGAAAAATGGGTTGAAGCAGTATTTACAGGGACAGAAGATGCTGCCTCCAAAGTCCAAAGAGGCCTACTAAGCATTGTGCTTCTCTTTGTTTTGTTAAGTTATTCATTTAGTTAGTTAGTTTTAAGAGAGAAAGAGAACACAAATGCATGTGGGGGAGTGGCAGAGAGAGAGAGAGAGAGAGAGAGAGAGAGAGAGAATCCCAAGCTGACTCCAAGCTCAGTATAGAGCCCGATGCAGGGCTTGATCCCATGACCCTGGGACGATGACTTGAGCTGAAATCAAGGGTCAGATGCTCAACTACCTGAGCCACTGAAGCGCCCCAAGGTGCAAGGTTCTTAATTGTCCAGCTACCCATCCCGAGTATCGGGGTCTCACCAATTCTCTATTAGGACCCCGACTTTGGAGACCTGAGAATTTAACCTTCTCCAAAACTCTGCTATACTTAAGATTACGACTGGCACTCCAGTTGACCTGCTGGAGAACACTGGGATTTTCTCACAAGCTGCCAAGGAGGCACTCGGGCTTTCACAGTTCACCTTAAACTGGTGAACCTCACCTCAGCCTCCTGCTCTCCTCAAGCTGAGGAGCTCTCAGCCACGATCACTCGGTCTCACCTCCTGCTCACCATTTTCCCTCAGCCTTTCCAGCACCATCCCCACCACCAGTGATGGGGTCCTCGCTGTCAACCTGCCACATGCACTTCTCCAGTTTTCCATCTAGAGCCCACTTTTTCACAACTATTTCCTGTGTCAACTGCCTTAGAAGTTTCCTGGAAACAGCCTGAGGTGGAAGATTGCATGCAGAAGGTTTATCAGGGAGTGTTCCTGAGAAGTTCCCCTGGAAAGAAGACAGCACATCTCAGGAGGAAAAGCTGACTTTCAGCGAGGTTGCGATGGAGGCTACCATCAGCCAACCCTGAGAGGCGCTCTGGAATTGAAATAGCCCATCAGGTTTGGCTCAAATTGGGGTGAGGAGGCCGAGCTTCTGCATTCCTGCCTCGGTCAGTCAAATGAGCACAGGCGCCATCCGTGGGCACGTAAGCTTGAACGAGGCAGTTCCTGGCAGCAAAGGGTGATGTCCAGCAAATGACTCAGCTGTGAGCCATCTACAGCCTTTGTTCCCAGCGCAGGGGAGGGTGCATTCCCTGGGGAGGGGTCTGGGCAAAGTGGTACCCGCAGAAAGGTCTTGTTTGAATAGGAAGAGTAGAAAAAGGAACAAAGAAATCTGGGGTGAAAGAGGAAACTTCAATTAACATTTCAAAATATCATCCCACCCAGCAACTTGACAGTTTGCTAAGAGTCCCCCTTCCCCATTCTGCACCCCTAAGACACGGTTCACATCACCCTCTTTCCCACCATGCTGAAATGCCTCTGGGATCATAATTGTCTTATAGCTCCCAGGACCCTCCAAGCCTCACACGGTAGCAAAAGCAAGTGTGGAGGAAATACGTGAGGTCATCAAACAACTCATTTATATTCCTTCTGGCTAGTTACGGGATTCCAGGCCA